CCCTCCCCAGGTACGGTCCTTCGTCCATCCATGCACGTATCAAAAGGCAGCCAGAGCCCTGGGGATTGGGGATGCTCGTCGGCACATGTCCCGAGGTCACCCGGCATCGCTGGGCAAGACGCCTACTGCCACACAAATGACGAGGAACAGACGGCTCAGAGGGCACAAACCTGCCAGGCCAAAACACATATAAACAGGGAAAACGGGGAAACACGGCACCCGGGGAGGGGAAACGGGCTCCCACCTCCAGCCCCTTCCCAGAAACTAGCGGCTCCGCACTGGTCCTCACCACGCGGGGATGTGCAAACTGATGGAAATTAAGTCCAACGCTAAGTTTCTTCTCTTGCTGGCACAGGCGTTGCCAAGTCAAGAGTTGCCATCGCGGCTTCCTCAGCCTCCAGAACTTGGCTCCTGTGCTTCCCAAACAGATTTCAGCAGTCACCTCTAATAGGAACAAACTGCGCTTCCCAGCCTCTCCTCCTCTGCAAACACAGGCAGAGAGGAGGAAAGATATTCAGCAAAAGAACATTAAAAAAAAACCCACCACTAAGCTGAAGGGGGGAAATGGGAGTAAACATCCTGTTTTCTTTAAGAGTTACCTCGTGCCCCGGCAGCACGGGGATGGGCTGCCAGAGAGCGGCGAGCATCCAGCCTGAATTCAGCCACCCCCAGGTCGGGAGCCATTGGACACTTTGCCGGTACAGGCTCCGGCATCATCGGTGAACAAATCCCCTCCATGCTTCAGACCCTAAAAGTCCTGCTAATGAGGTTTTAAAAAAAAGACACTGTGAAGAACATCTCGTCCTGCCGAGGAGCCGCTGCTGGGACCGGCTGGCACAGCCGGCGCCGCGTTCCTCAGCCCAAGGGACAAATTTAGCCCTATCCCTCTCATCCCTTCTGACTCATGCTTTTCTGGGAAGAACAGATGCAAAGCAAAATGCTTTCACATGAGTAACCAGAGAGCAGCATCTAGAGGGACTTCAGGGAAGGGATTCTGCTTGGTGATGCTTTTTCTTTAAACGATTGCACCAGAGATGAGGCAACGTGACGTCTCTTTCCCATGTCATGCCCCATGTGCGTCGGACACGCAGAGGAGAGAACCTGTCACTCCTGCTTCTCAGTATCATGGCCCAGCGGTGAGTCACATACGATGAACAAAGCAAAAAAAAATGGGGAGGGAATAACAAAAAAAAAAATTGATTTGGTTGC